CGGAATTGCACGCGTAGCTGCCCTCTGTACCTTTTCTATTATGTCTGAGTCACCTTTTAAACAGGGGCTTGCAGCCTGAACACAGTTCTCTAACTTAGTTCTCACTAAAGATGTGTATAATGTGGTGAACATGGTAGTATCAAGCTTAGTGAATGTCCTTTTTAAAGCCCAGAGGGTTCGAAACCCCTTAACTGCGACCTCCCGGCAATGGGCCGTCGTCTTAAGATCATTGCTCACTGTCACCCCTAGGTCCTTATGAGACCGGACTACGGGTAATGACACATCCCCTATGTTGTACGTATTAACCTTTGAATCCCCCAAGTGCATGTAGACACACTTTTCCGAGTTGATAGGCATTAGCCACTCTTTAGACCAGTTTATCATATTATTTAAGTCCGCCTGAAGAGTAAATGCATCGCTGATTCGAAATAAACATCACACCAACATATAGAACATTACACTAACTGCGGCATTTCAGCACACTGAGACGTTAAATTACATAGCTACACAAAAGAAATAGCTGAAAGAAGCACAGAACGAAGAAAGCCGACCTCCATTGCTTACAAAGATGGCGGATGTAATAATTCCCGCCTCATTCTGATTGGTTGCTAAGCTGAAGGGCACATTTACGAAATTGAGTTGCGTTTAATTGCAGCCTGTCTGTTGCGGAGCCATGTTGTAGATCAATGTTATTGAGGAGCTAATCTAATCTTCACTGACCAGCTAGATCTCCGCGTTTAAGAATAGGCGTTTTTTAAGTTTTACAAACATCACTAGTGAACATACTGAGTGAAGCGTACCCGATGAATTCGTGCCGGTAGTGCCTTCATTACTGCGAGAATTGACGTACGTGGATAGGCCACGCCGTGCTCGTGGAAGTAAGCTGCTGCGTAGTAGAACCGGGCTTCGGCTTTGCCCAGTTAGAATAACATTAGCCGAAGTGAGAGTGGAGAACGAACCTTGATCATTAATAGTTTAAGAGTCTGTTCAGTCAGGATGAATATAGCAATGGTCTGTGAAAAAGTTCACAGATACGAAAAAATATAACAATCTATAAAAACTAAAGTAAAAACGCGATATACAATGCTCCGAAAGTGAACAGACTCACATTTTACGAATAGGCTCACCACCAAAGATGACACAAGTTTGACAACATAACAGGTAACACTATTTTTAATGGGAACGTGATGACCCAGTGAAATCAGCGGTCAGAAGCAAAGAGGCTTGAATATTTGTCTGATAGAGTATCGGCATACAAGAAGTGACTAGTCTAAGCTGGTTAGCGGTTGTAGGGAAAGAGAAGCACAGTGTACTCACTCGTGGTCTGGTGCAGACGCATGACCGAGCGCCTTCAGCTAGGTGAGTTCGTTAAAACTAATACAGTCAGCATCAGATTTTGAAGACTTACGGAGCTATTGACTTTGGGGATTTATTTACCGCTACAAGTATGACTCCAGTCTACGCACTGTATCTCACTTTTCAGAAAAGCCAGAACAGATTTGGATTCTTGCCTAACACGTGTGATATTCACTTTAATTATATTAGAATCGAGGAGATTACTCTGAGTGCCACTATTCCCATCTGGCAGAATATAAAGTCTTAGACTTTTTGAACCCAATCACTTGTTTCACGAAAGTAAGTAACTGCGTCAGACCTTGAGGCTAACCGCTCACTGAAAAGAGTCAATTTGAACTTAACTTGTGTAGCGGGTTAGATCTCTTGGTTCCAATTTTGATTCTAAGTTTGTTTTAATATGAGGCTTGTGTTATTTATAGTTGTTGTCAATTTCTCTCCCTAGTAAGACGCAAGTGCATTGTGCGCGTTTGCCGAGCCATCGATCCACCTTTTCTTATGTTTTTATCTCCATCTTTAACGCTACTCTGCATGCTCCTTTTGTACACAAAGTACTCTCTGGCTAGACACGAATCAATAAACTAGACTCTATTGTTGTTGCTAGTTGTTACAAGTCACTCCTTTTACTCGGCGTAAGTGCATTTTTCAAAAGGACAGTAACATTTGTCACAGGCTTAACTTCTTTCAGATCTGTGTTTTCTGTTCTCCTTCGATATGCTTGAACAGTTCATGGCTTGATATTACTGGTTGAAGTGTACTATGCTGATGACCTATGGCGACTTATCAGCCTATTAGGAAACACTACCTAGTTATATAACAATTGACAATGTAAATTGGTAAAATATGTTTTATTTACTGTTATAACCTGCTTCGGTTCGGGCACCGAGCAGTATCCCAGCCCTCACATAAGTCGAATGATTTATGTGGCGCATATCTATTTGGTGCCTCCTTATACCAATGTTTGTGTGTTTAAATAAATAAATATAAGAGTAGAATAGCAGTCTTGATTTGAATAATTAACTCTCACATGTTAAATTATCGGTTATAGTAGAAGACATAAGTCAGGTTTACATCCTAGAACTCGGACTAGCGCTGTGGTTTTGATTGATCACTCCATATGTTTTGTTTAGGTGTTAATCAAGTTAATCAAGCTAAGTTCACTTTTTAAGGTTTAGTCACACATATGTTACTTGTGCTATCCTGCTTGTCAACGATTTTATTGCTAGTTGCATGCAAGCTGAGTTGAGAAATTTGTGTTCCAGCTACTCCTGTTAGAATAAAGGCAATTGGTGTTGAAAGTCGTTTAAGACGAACGTGCTTGTTCAGTTAATTGAGGATGAATCAGTTTTTATCTAATGTGAATAATATAAATATAACTGACACTATCAGTATGAATGACATACACAAGTCAAGCTCATTCGGCATAAACAATTAGATCGTATATGACAAAGTACATAGAACTCTGTACAGTAGAACTCGTACTAGCCCTGTATTTTAGATTGACCACGCTACAGAATTTCGGTCACCGACTGTCAGTGACATCGCTTATCACTTTAAATGGTTGGAGTTAGATATTAAGGAATAGAATGTAGCTTTTTGTTGGTTTTAAATGTCAGTATACGTGTTCTCGCCATAAATGTACAATAGCTGCAATGAAGTGCTTTTTCACTTTTCAATTGAACAAAACAACAACTGGTGCTTGAAATTCAGAGCAAGAGTGGTAAAATAAGGTTATCACCTATCTTTATCGAACTCTCTTGACTAAACACTATCACATCAAGTACATCAGCACATATTTCATCTTAGGAGCAGGTATGTTCTGTTATTTTGCTCAAGCACCACTTAAAGTGGAATTTTTAGTTGGAAACATTTTATAACTAAACCATTGTCAATATTACTTAGTTAATATTAAAATGCTAGTTACCTACTATTGCATTTACGATTTCTGACGATATACTTGAGGCGTTATCTTTATTTTGATTGGTTAGCTCGGAGCCTCCAATATACCATACTTTTTCTCTGTAGCTAACTAGTAATAAAGACTTGCGTAATAACAATCTTGTTTCTTTATGCTCCTAATTATATATATATATATATATATATATATATATATATATATATATATATATATATATATATATATGGAAAGGCATTTTGACGGTAATAAACGCTAGTTTATTAATTACGTAATTTTACGAAACAAACCAAGACTTATTTTTCAGTTACACTAGGATTAGAGCAAAATTTACACATTATGTGAACCGTGTTTCGATGATAGCGGTTATGTTGAGTATTTCCTGTAATTTTTATTCATACTAGTATAAACCTGGTTTATTTTGTCGTAATTTGTCGGGGTAGAATCGTTGCCTTCTGACGGTCACTGCTTGGGGTAATAGTTTGATTCCGATCAGAATCTGTTTGGTTACAGTAAGAAGATGTAAATGGGTATTTCGGTTAACACTAAATCATAACAATTAACGTGAATAAATCATCATGCTTGGATGGATATCTCTTGTAGGTATATTTCTCGTAGTAATTTGTTCATTAACAAAGACGTTAGATATATTTAACTAATTGCACTTCTATATGAGTATCGGTGATTAAACGTATTCTCGTCGTTCAGACTTTTATTGGTACATCAGGTTATTATTACTATTATTATGTGTAAGTGGAAGTAAAGTATTATTGGTCGTTAAGCGTGAACAAACAGCCACAGCGTACGGTCTATTAAATATGTAATTTTCCTTGTTATCATTGATTTCTGCTTTGGACTGACTGTGTCCCTTCTGTAGCTCTTTTAGGATTACTGTTGATCTACAGCCTGGTTAAAGGAGGAGGCTTGGGCAACTCCATCCAATAGAAAACATGAAATGTTCCGCACCCTCAGGGAGTCGCTCTGATGCTATCCAAAAAAGCACGAACTGCATTTGTAAAATCGAGAGGCTTCAGTTAATCCTAGCGAAGTGCTCAGGAAGGGACCCGACCATCCTGATGGAGATTTAAACGCCAAAGTCAGAATAGACGACACTGGGTATGAATATATCGTGGGACGATAAGGACTAGAAGAGAGGAACGAAAATGGCGAGAAATGAGCAAGTTTATGTGCATTTAACAACATGGTTATATGTGGTAGTATGTTCCCTCATAAACGCATACACAAAGCTACATGGATTTTATCGGATCTGTAACAAGTTCAAAACCTATTTTCGGTCATGACTTTTCATAATTATATACCGTTGACCAATATATAATTAGGATAATAAACGTTAACTATGTTTATAATCATGTCATTCAGTTGTCGCGTTTGGTAACAGTACAATGCAGGTTGTAAATCAGTTGATAAATTGTTTCCTTATTCAACAAACTGAATATGGGTGGCACAATATACTCCCACAAACGCACACACAAAACTACATGGATCTCACCGGATCACACTACACATAACCGATCGATCATATTTGCATCAGTAAAAATTCACAAGGTTAGTGGAAGACGTGAGAAGCAGGAGAGAAGCTTAGATAACTTTAGCTCACCACCTGATGGTTGCCACAATGAAGCTGAATGAGCATTGGACAACTGGACAAACAGCAGTGCAAAGGTTCAATACAGCCTTCCTTTAACATACTGACAAACTCAACAAATTTGAGATAGCTCTCAACAACAGGTTCCAAACTTTACAAGACATACTGGAGGATAATACTACTATGGAGGACAATTGGAAAGGGATCAAAGAAGCACTAACTTCAACGTGTCAGAAGGTACTGGGCCTCAATAAGCATCATCATAAATAATGGATCTCCATAGAAACCCTTGACAGGACTCAAGAAAGGAAAAGGACAACAATTAACAACAGCCGAACAAGAACAGTCAAGGCACAAGCTGATATACAGAAGCAAACAAGCAAGGAAGGAATAGCATTAGAGTTGACAAGCAGGCAGCGGGAAAAGCTGCAAGAGAAGAAAATATGAATCAACTATATGATACGACGAAGAAACTGGCAGGGAAATATAGTAAACCAAAGCGATCAATCAAGGACAAAATGGGTAAGCCAGTCACTGAAATTTAGGGTCAGATGAACAGATAGTTGGAACACTTCGAGGAACTCTTAAATAGACCAGTTCCATTGAATCCACTGGAAGTCGGAGCAGCACACACAGACCTTCCTATAGATATCACTCCACCAACGATGGAGGAAATCGGGATGACCGACCATCAGACAAATCTAGAGTGGAAAAGCAGCAGAACCTGACAACATACCAGCCAAAGCACTTAAGTTAGACATAGAAGTAACTGCAAATATGCTCCATATTATATTCAGAAAGATTTTGGAGGAAGAAAAAGCGCCGACAGACTGAAAAGAAGGATAACTCATCATGATACCAGAGGAAGGAGATCAGAGCAAATATGAGAAATACAGAGGCATCACACTACTATCGGTACCAGAAAAGTTTTTAACAGAGTGTTGCTGAACTGGATGAAAAATTCAGTAGACGTCCAGCTTCGATATCAACAGTCCGGATTCCGTAGGATCAGTCGTGCACAGACCGAATAGCGACAATACGGATTACTGTTGAGCAATCAATTGAATGGAGTTCGTCACTATATATCAGCTCCATTGACTATGAGAGAATATTTGACAATGTGGATAAGAGAGCCTTATGGGACCTTCAACACTATGAAGTAAGTAGCTGAGAAGATCGTCAACAGCATCCGGAATCCATACGATGGACTACATTGCAAAGTGGCGCATGGAGAACAGCTGACAGATACATTCCAAGTGAGGACCGGAGTTAGACAGGCTGGTTACTCACCCCTTTTCTTCTTTTTTTGGCGGTTGACTGGATTATGAAGAACTCAACATCTGAGGGAAAGCACGGAATAAAATGAACAGTTTGGAATCAATTAGAAGATTTGGACTTCACAGATGACCTGGCCTTTCTATCCCAAACACGAATAAATGCAAATGAAGGTAACTAGTGTAGCATCAGTAGGCCTAAACATACACGAGGGAGAAAGCAAGATCCTCAAGTACAACACGGCAAACACCGACACAATCACCCGATGGAAAAGCCCTGGAAGATGTGGAAACATTCTCTTACATGGTTAACATCATCGATGAACAAAGAGGATCGAATGCAGACGTAAAAGCAAAGATCAGCAAAGCAAAGACGGTATTCAAATGGTTGAAGAACATATAGAACCCCAAACAATTGTATGCAATCCAATATCAAAGTCAGAATCTTCAATACGAACGTCAAGACAGTTCTTTTGGAGAATTATCACAAACATAATCAAAAAGGTGCAAGTTTTTCTAAACAATTGTCTACGTAAGAAACTCAATGTTCGTTGGCCGGATACCATCAGCAACAACCTACTGTGGGAGAGAACAAACCAACTTCCAACTGAAGAGGAAATTAGGAAAGGACTCTGGAAGTGAAAAGGACAAACATTGAGGAAATCATAAAACTGCATCACGAGGCAAGCAATAACTTGGAATCCTTAAGGGAAACTGAAAAGAGGAATACAAAGGAACACACTGATCGAAAATTGGAAGCAAACGTGAAGAGGAAAAATTTGAAAGGATTGCCCAGGACAGACGGCTGAAAAATGCTAGTGAGCGGCCTATGCTCCTTCACGTGAGGTAACAGGCATGTGTAAGTACTCACTGTGAGTGACTGCTTGTAATTGTATTGAATAGAATCTTCTCTATTATTAATCTGGCTCTCCATTTTGGGTCGCGATTCTTGGTTTTGATATAATGTGATTAGTCTTATTAATGTATTATCGTAACATATGTGTAAAGAAAAAAATTTCAAACCATCTGTTATATCATATTATTATTACTGGATCTTTTTAACCTTTCATTGAATATTTCACCCAGTGAGAATATTATTAGTTCACATCGTGGCATAGTATTGGGCACAGTCTATGCGTGCGCTTAGAAATATGCAATGATTATTTGCTTTCTCCTAGTGTTACGCTTTTTTTCAAATAAATTGATAAGCATAGTTCATAATCCACTCAGTCAGTCAGCTACAACGTAGGACCAGACACATATATGCATCGGTCCAAGTTGCCATACCTCATTAACACAACAAGATGGACACCGGATTCATAAAAGTAGTTCATAATCCAGCCAGAAAACTACCTAATAACTGTGTTCTTCTTTTCAATTTGCTTATTGTATTGGTTTGATTGAATTAAAACTAGGTTGATTTAATATAGTACTTCTTAAAATAACTTTGTCATTACTAAAACAACTAGTTTGTTGATTATTTATTACTTAGGTTCCATTTCTGTCAATATTTCGTAATGTCAGTGAGAACAAATGAGGAAACATTGTATTAAAAGTAAAAATGGTGGATTGATTTCCTATAAAAAATCTAAAGCAAAGGAGTTAGTTAATAACGCCAACAAAATATCTTGTTTAATAAAGGAACTCAATATATCATTAGAAATTCCTGATTATCTAAATGTAAATAATGCTATCACTGTTGAATGTATAAAAGCATCTAAAGCTGATGTAGCAATTATTGACGAATTAATGCAACTACTTCAAGAAAATATGCAAGTAACTATTGTTGTTTGTTTTGTTTTAATAAATAAACAATTTGTTTAGAGTTTGTATATTTTATCATCATGGGGTTGGAATACAGAAGCTAAACGAGCTGAAGCATTTTCATCAAAATCTTGGTTAATTATTTGTCGTTGTCAAACTTCTGATATTCAATCCATAGCTGGATTTGTTAGTTTTCGGTTTGAATGTGAAGAAGAACATCCTGTGTTATATTGTTATGAAATCCAATTATACCCACAATTTCGTCATTTACATGTTGGAACATTTTTAATGAATATATTATTATCTATTTCATTGGCATTGAATATGCATCGTGTCATGTTGACAGTGTTCAAGTCGAATAAAAGTGCTATTAAGTTTTTTGAGAAACTAGGATTTGAAACTGACGAAACAGATCCTTCTATGTTCAAAGGAGTTAAAACTGTTGACTATAGAATTCTGTCCAAATTAACTATTAAATGAAATTTGAATTCTGGAAGTCAAGTTGTTACATATTTACAGACTTGAACTATAAATCTTTAGAAAGTCATTTTATATGTATTTTTATTGCTCAGTTTAAAATACAATCACAAACTGTTGTTACATTTTTGTTTTATATCAAATGTTAAGGTTTCTTTGATTTCCTACACATATTCGAACCAACCCATGCTAGAAAGATGGAAAACACTGACACATTTTAGTCCTGTGAATGAACAACGAAGTCCTGAGTAATTCTGTGACAATATTTTTTGCATTTTCAATTAATTCACTCATCAGTTACTTGAGCATGAGTCACACTCTAAGTATGTGGGCTAGTGACTCTACCAGTCAGTCAGTCAGCTACAACGTAGGACCAGGCACATATATGCATCGGTCCAAGTTGCCATACCTCATTAGCACAACAAGATGAACACCAGATTCATAGAATATATAAAAGAGAGATTGCGTATAAGGATATGGTACAGGAAGAAAGAATTAGTTAGTAGAAAGGAAGATATGAAGCGGTTTAAGGGAAGACAGGGACTGTATACACCTAAGCCATTATGATCGATTCTGAGCCATGTCACCCAGAGTATCCAACCATTGGTTAGGATAGTCACGCGGACTCCAGCCAAGTAGTCTGCGTCTACCAACATGGCTAAGACTAGAAGTTAGTGACTTCAAGCACTGGCCGCCCCTAACTTTCTTCCAACCGTCCGCAACACTAATCAGCATTGCGCTTCGTGGTAATCGGTGTTCAGGCATGCGTAACACGTGGCCAAAGCATCTCAGTCGATGAAGTTTTACAATCTCATCAACTGATTTACCATCATCCCCTAATACCCTGCGTCCAACCTCTACCTACTTTTCCAAAACAGTAGAGTAGGGTTCGAACCTGGGACCTAGTAGTTGAAGGTTAAGTGCCTTAATCATTAATCGTGCGCTCCACAATATTTAGTTTTGTCATGTATAATATTGGTTAGTTTCAATAAACACGAATTGACGAAAACACTCGTAAAGGGATCTTTACTAAAACACTAATACATAAAAAATATTCTTTTCAATATGTTCTCATCAGATTTTACGGTTGCGCATCGAAAGTGATACTCCAAAAGAATGTTCAAGTTTAGAGAAAATACATCTTTTAAAATTGTAGCTTATGAATTTACGATTAGTATCAGAAGGGGTTTTGTGGATAGTATAGTAATTTTAATAGTTGAAATCATGAGCCAATTGAAGCTAGACCACCATGGAAAACCTGGAAGCACTAGGCGGACGTTTCACCTCTAGATCACTGAGCCCGGATTAGAGGTTAAGCGTTCGCGCTCGACACTGGTAGGTCCTGGATTCGAATCTCGCAAGGTGGATCGTGGATGCGCACTGCTGAGGAGTCCCACAGTAGGACGAGACGGCCATCCAGTGCTTCCAGGTTTTCCATGGTGGTCTAGCTTCAATTGACTCATGATTTCATCTACTAGAATTTACGATTGTTTGTAAAATTAAGTTTTTTGATATTAAAGTGACTAGGATTCAGTGTTAATTTCGTTAGGTTCATATATTAAATGAGATTATGGATTACTAACCACAATAAATGTCGATAATAATGTATTTGCAAATCGGATTAGTTAATTGTTCGAGATCTACATAATATATGAAATGATACAAGTCATATGGAATGAGTGCCATCTAAATTCTTCATATAGTTAGAATATTTATAATGATATTGATAGATAATACAAAAGTGTGTGAATAATGATAATTTTTAGGACCACAAACTGACCTAAGTTATGCAAGCGTTCAGTGTTTGTTTAACGTAGATCTATTCGTGATCTTAATAATATGTAACAATCTTCCCAAAACCCCCATACTAATAATGTACGAAGATCAAAATGGATAATATATATATTCTCTTAAGACAACTACCAACTTATTGAACTTGGGATTAACTAAGCTAGGAAAATTGGTTGAATATATTATTTCAAGCACATTGATAGTAAATCTAAACTAGAAGTAAAGTAGGATAGTTGGAAACAATGCCGAAAGCGATGGGTAACTGAGAAATGTCAAAAGAAACGAATGATGTCAGAGAAAGTAAAGTATATAAGAACAGTTAAACATGAATGTATAGACCCTATAGTAAACTTTTTTAAAACCATACGACCTAAAATGATCAACAGTTGGTCGAAATTATTAAACAAGACAGCCCTAGAGTTCAGATCCTCAGTCACGGCTCAGATAAACCGTCAGTGATTTGTGAACTGATCGTGTTCTTATCATTCTCAATTTTTTTAGACTACTCCAAAGTCGAATCGACCCATCGTGGTAGCTAGTGACTGGTGGAGGGTATATATCAATTTCCAAACAATTGCAAGTCTAACACTTATCTTTAGTGATATATCTACTTCACTTGAATAGATGTGAAAAAAGTTCGAGTAGCGTGGAACTGAAGAAGACAGCTCGTTATGTTAGTTGGAGTAATTATTCACAAGCTTTTGGTACAGAGTGTTTTGAGTGAAAAGTTATCAGCTAAGTGATGTCCGCGCTTTGAACTACATTCGGTAATGAAATCAAGAAAGAAATTTCATGTGCAGAAACAAAATACTCGGATTGCGAAGTTTGGCTAGCAACCCATAATTCCTCTAGAAATGAAGACCATAGAGATGATGCAACTTGTTGAATTTGTTTTAAATATTTTGAACTATAACCTGTTTCTCTAGACGTTTTTGTTACTGATATTACCACTCGTACTAATTTAGTATTCATCTTACTGTGTTAACATCGTATGCAAAACTAAGCTGACATACATTTATGCCAAGCGTCTATGTTTAGAATGACTAACTTACGAGTTGTTTTAAACTAGTGAGAAAGAGACTACCTTCCATTACTTCCGGTTTTTCATAGTTTAGAAGCCTACCTCGAAACGTGATATTGGTTGATGTAAGAGTAGGTTGAAAGAACTCGATGGACGACCATCTTGAGACTTGATATCAGCCCACGAAGTCACTAACTACTGAGCTGAGCTTTGAAGGTAGGTTCAGACTACGTAGGTGGAATCAGTGCGATTATCATGGTTAATAGTTAGAAATTGGGTGCATAACGCAGAATCACTCTCATCAGTACAAACACATTCATTGGTCGACTTGGAATACTCATAGTTTCTATTCCACAAACTCTTTTGGGAACTGTATTGCCTGTGCCTAATCTTTTCTACAACTACTGATGTTGTTGCTACTTCTAATACTCTGGTATTTGTGTTGATAGTTTCATCTAGCTAAGCTGACGACTGTATGGCTTTCCCAAAATTGTAAATTCAATAATCTGTTCACGTTTCAAAGACTAATAGCAAACAATCATGATTTTTCAAAAAGAAAAGTTTATTCAGTTTACAAACAGAATGGCTTTATAAATAATTTCAAAATTGTAATATTACAGTAGTTCATCATGAACACTTAGGTCCTATTGGTTCGTATTTTTATTCTGGTCTCCTGGATCTTAAGCCTTTTGATGGATTTTTAATCCAAATCCCACATGTGCTTAAAATAATCAATAAAACGTAACCATATCAATAATGTCAATCCAGAATTTACAACAAAAAACAAATAAGCCTACTGAAATTTTAGCAATTAGTTATAGCTAGAATTCTTAAGGAAATCATTTTCTTTACTGACGATTTAACTCTAATCATTCAATTTAATGGATATGGAGGGTCCATCTAGGGGAGTTAATGAACCCTGATTCCTGAGGGAACAAATAGCGTGTGAACTAATTATTGGTCACCGGCTATCATGTGATTGCATCTCCTGATGTTGCTCCATTGCTTTGTGGATTAGACCTTTCGGTCGAAGGCCCCTGATATGGCCCCCTAACAAAACCACCTGCTTCGGTCTGGGCACTCGGGGAGTATCACAGCCGACACGCAAACCAAATAACGTATTTGGTGCCCCTCATTCAATTTAGTAATCACGGAACTTTATTCTGTTTGATTTTTTGTATTTTTTAATCTAACTCCCACTAATCCGGTAATATATGTTAAAATTGTATGACTAGAACACAACAGTATTAAATTCAAAATGCTACTCTTTTTCTGGAAATAACTTCTGCTGATTAACTGGCTGTGAACAAGTGATATCACATAATACTGTAAAGTTGTCACAGTTCATCTGGTCTATCTTGATTAGTTCCATTATTCTAGTCATGTAATAACAATCATTATGATTGTCTATCGAATTAATAGTCATTGTTTATTTATACACAAATTCAAGATCATAAAGTTGAAATCGTTAGTTTATTTGTGTGGTTCAGTGGGCTGCTCAAAATCCTCAAGTCTTCCAAGTAATATGCAAAATATTATTGTAATTCTTTGATGTACTTGTGGTAGTGTAAGTTGGGGATTCTGGTGATCGACTGGATCATGAAGATGTCAACATCTGAAGGGAAACGCGGGATACAGTGGACATCTAGGATGCAGCTGGATGATCTAGACTTCGCAGATGATCTGGCTCTTCTATCGCAAACGCAACAACAAATACAGGAGAAAACGACCAGTGTAGCAGCAGCCTCAGCAGCAGTAGGTCTCAACATACACAAAGGGAAATGCAAGATTCTCCGATACAACACAGCATGCACCAATCCAATCACAATTGATGGAGAAGATTTGGAAGATGTAAAAGCATTTACATATTTGGGAAGCATCATTGATGAACAGGGTGGATCTGATGCAGATGTGAAGGCATGGATTAGCAAAGCAAGAGCAGCATATCTACAACTGAAGGACATCTGGAACTCAAAACAACTGTCAACCAACACCAAGGTCAGGATTTTCAATACAAATGTCAACACAGTTCTACTGTATGGGGTGGAGACCTGGAGAACTACGAAAGCCATCATCCAAAAGATACATGTGTTTATTAACAGTTGTCTACGCAAAATACTTCGGATCTGTTGGCCGGACACTATTAGCGACAACGTACTGTGGGAGAGAACAAACCAGATCCCATCGGAGGAAGAAATTAGGAAGAAATGTTGGAAGTGGATAGGACACATATTTAGGAAATCACCCAACTGCGCCACAAGACAAGCCCTCACATGGAATCCTCAAGGCCAAAGGGGAAGAAGGAGACCAA